AAAAATAAACCTTGAGGGTATTTTGAAAAGCATTATTAATTCTTCTCCTTCTCTCTCTCTCTCTCTCTCTCTCTCTCTCTCTCTCACACACACACACACACACACACACACACACACACACACATCTACACAGAGAAAACGAACCATGGAATAAGACAGGCAAACAAGGGTTTTCCTTATGGTCTAGCTGTGAGATCGTCAGTGGGGTCATGGGGTCATCTCTGAAAGACTCAGCATCTCTGCCAGGTCCAGTGCGGGGAGAATGCTGCCCAGCTCACCGGCAGCAGGCAGCCTCAGTGCACCTGGCCAGGATCCAGCTGTGGGCACAGATGCATCTGAGAGAAACCCAACCGTGCGACCCACACTTCCAGTCACATATTCCTGAAGCAACAGAACATGAGCTAAGCTGAAGCTGATAGAAACATCCCAAGAAACACATAGCTTTTGAGTTCCATCTGTAACCTTACATGATAAAATAAAGAAATAGAAAACAAGAAACATAAGCAATTGCTGACTGAAGATATGGCTCTAATAGCCTAAGACAGCGGTCACCAACCGATGGTCCGCAGACCACTGGTGATCCGTGAGGTCCAAAAGCTTGGCGACCACTGGCCTAGGACATTACTAAGCTTAGTCATATAGCAACTCCAACGAAAGAGGCAGCTCTGCCCAGAGTGGGCTTGGAGTCACTGCTATTGGAGTTTGAATCCTGGCTTTGTCACTTACTAGCTGTGCCACCTGGGACAAGGTGCTAAGGATCTTTTTAGCTTTCACATCTGTACAATGGGGATATTCCGACCACACTGGAAGATCAAATAAAAGACAATGGCCATGGTAGTGCTTTTAGCCTATGAAAGAGCTACATGTCTGCAGCAGGGCAATGACCCATCACAGGGGTGGGATCCCTGCTGAAGGAAGACACGGATACCTGAGGTGTCGCACGCGGGCCTCTCTGTGGAGGGCTCTTCCTGGGCGGTGCTGAGCCTGTAGATAACGTGGGGTTTGTTTTGTCCATCTTCATCTTCTGGTTCATCCACGGACAGCAGAGGCTCAATAAAGTAATCCCCATCCTGGGACCGGAATGTGCCCAGCTGCAAAGGAAGAGATGAGAGGTTGATTTCATAAAGATGAAACATTTGAAAGTGGAGACGGTGCCATTTGACCCAATCCCTTTGTCGTGAGGGCTGCTTAACCCGAAAATGCTGCGGACACACTTGGAGAGCGATTTATTTTCATTCTCAGCCATACCAGTACCTTCTCCTTGACTTGACACTATTGTTCCTGCTCACCAAATCCGTCTCTAAGGAATACTTCCTTGGTGCTCAAGTTCTAATCACATATTCCCTTCTCCAGGCTGTTGAAAGACAGTGTTTCTCTGTGTGAAGACAGCTGGAAATTGAGGGACCCGTGTGATCTCTGAGAGAAAAGCTGACCCTCGGAAGCATTATCATGACTTCAAATTCAGGAAGCATATGTTGACCACAAGGCACTCAAGGTGGTGCCACCTGTGACACTCTTTCTTTCCCACCCTTTCTTTCCCACCCTTTCTTTCCTTCCCTTTGCAACAGGCAGTGATTCAGTACCAGGTTTTGGGGCCAGGCTGCCCAACACAGGTCCCAGTCCCAGCACAGCCTCTTACCCACCCATCTTGCCACCCATCTTGGGTAAGTTCCTTAAATGCTGAATCTCAGCTTCCTTGTTCATCAATTAGGGATAAACTTACTATAAAGGATTATCCTGCAGATTATATGAGATAATGCACTTAAGGTACTTAGCACCTTGTAAGAACTTAGAACATATTAGTGGCTTTTGGTGTTGTGTTAGCCTCTAACCGCCAGGATGCAGTTGTGTTTGCCAATCATTCTAAGCACTTTGAAAGTGGCAACTCTTTCTCCTCTCCTTCTCACATACCCACAGTTTTGCAAATGATGAATGATGCCTCAAGGTTGACCCACCCAAACAAAACATTACAAGAGCATGAAAAAGTTCCCCATGTCATGCAATGTGTTAAGGAGAAGTCAAACCCTTCTCTCATTTTCCATTGTTCCCTTTCCTGCACTGGGGGAGTAAAAAAGGAGAAAAAGAAAAAGTAAAGGAAAAGCAGACCTTTCACCTTTCCCTGGACACAAGGGAAATGACTGTCCATAAAGGTTATAAGCATCATCCAGAAATTTGCTAGAAATTCAAATAATCACGCTCCACCCCAAATCTGACCCACTGAATCAAAATCTCAGGGCAGGGCAGGAGTTGGAGTTTTAATGAGCACTCCATGATATTCTTACGCATGATAAAGTTTGTGAAGCATTAGGCTAGGGCAGGTTCTAAACCCAGCTAAGATTCAAAATTGTTTGGGAAGTTTTTTAAAAATTCAGATTTGGGGCATTACCCCTTATCTGCAAATTGAATTTCCAGGGGTAAGGTCTAGCATCTATGTTTTTTAAAAAGTTCTCTACGTGATTTAGGGGCCACTAGCTCAACGAGGGAACAGCTCTGTGTGCACAGAGCAGGCAAAAAAGTAGCTGGTTTTTGGCAAAGTGATTTAACAACTTTATTCTCATCCAGGCAGCTCTCTCGGTTTCCAATACTCAACTCTGGTGTTCTCTGAACACAGTGCAGGATATATACTACAATATGTAAACCTACTAGAGACAGGCCGTAAGTACTGGGAAAAACCTGGGCGTTCATCTGGAGAGGGTCTGGCCCGTCTGGTGAAAAGGGAAGCCGAGGGAGAAAGCGGCTGTCCGCAGCTGCCCTTTGGTGGACAGAGCAGCTGAACAGAGCCAGTGCTGAATCTAGAATTCAGGTTTCCCAACTCCAGTCCAGTGCCTTTTTATTTTATCTTTACTGTTATTTTTAAATCCTCACCCACGGACATGTTTTATTGATGCTTAGAAAGAGAGAGTGAGAGAGAAAGAAACATGGATATGAGAGAGAAACAGTGATCAGTTGCCTCCTGTATGCACCCCGACCAGGAATGGAGCCTGCAACCTAGGAATGTGCCCTGACCAGGGATCAAACCCACACCTTTTGGTGCATGGGGTGATGCTAGCCAGGGCAGTGCAGGGCCTTTTTAAATTATGTTCTCTGTAGGAATATGGATTCAGTCTCTGAGTGGCTAAATGCATGGGCCGGAAAGACTGGGTGGGAACCCCAGCTGTGCCACTTAGGAGTGTGAGACTTCGAGCAAGCCTCCAGCTCTCAAAGCCTCACTGTCCCCATCTGTAAAATGAGTTGAGGATCGGATTGTGTGAGGGTTCTGTATGAGATGATGTATACATAAAATACTCATTATAAGGCAAAGCACATAATGAGAGTTCAATAAATGGTACCCATATAGTGCCAAATTAATTTTGTTGTTGATTCACAAGTAGTTGCTTGATCTAAGAGTAATTCTTTCTTGGTCAAGGTGAACATTTATTCAAACATACAGGGTATCCTATATAATAAAATCCTAATATGCAAATCAACCAAACGGTGGAACGAACAGTCGCTATGACGTGCACTGACCACCAGGGGGCAGATGCTCAATGCAGGAGCTGCCCTCTGGTGGTCAGTGCGCTCCCACAGGGGGCGCTGCTCAGCCAGAAGCCGGGCTCAGCTGGCTAGCAGGTGGGCAGTAAGGAGTAAGGGGTCCTGGACTGTGAAAGCCTGGACTGCAAGAGGGCACAGGCCAGGCTGAGGGACCCCCCCACCCCCGTCCCCCATGCGTGAATTTTGTGCACCAGGTCTCTGGTGTACCTATAATATCTAAGGCTCCAATATGGAAGAGAAATGAATTGATGTTGATCCTGCTGCCAAAGAGAAAGGGACAGAACATACCTACTAAGAACAATAATTATAATACAAGGGAGCAAACAGAAGAACCAATAGAGAAATACACATACACATATGCATCTATGAAGGTGAAGGGGGAGACATGACAGCAGTCCATAGAACCAGGAACATGTTTCCTGGGAAGAAAGATATCTAAGTTACATTTAAGTTACACTTCAAAAGAAGGGCATGATTTGAGCATGTGAAGCTGGGTGAGATGAACAAATAAGTCTGGAGGCCCAAGGGCAATGAGGCAGGATTAGGATAGAAGGGAAATTCAGTAAAAGAAGCAAAAGCAGGTTGCCTGAAATACAGGCCTTGTGGAGGAAAGCTTGAGAGATGCCCTGGACCTGCCGGCCTGAGAGGGGTGAGAAGCACTGCAAATGGTCTCAAGGACCAGACGGAGTTCACAGTTGTGACTGGGCATGCGCGGTGCAGAGCTGGTGAGCCGGGAACCATGTGGCCTTGCACCCGGTGATCATTCATTTGTTAGGGGCAGAGCTTAAGAGAGACGAGTCTGGAAGAAAAGCCAGAGACAAATATTTCTTAGACATCAGTCCCAGTGAGCAGAGACGTGAAGAGGGCTGGAGTTAGGGTAGGGATGCTCAGAAAAGGTAAGAGACACATCTGAGATGGAATTCAGGGGAACTGATACTTTACTAGTGAGGTGTGTGTGTGTGTGTGCGTGTGTGGTGATGGGGGAGGCAGAAATAGCATGGTCCACCCTGACAAGTGAAAGAGTTCCTGGGGGTTTTAGGCAACTGGGAACACCACAATTCCACAGCTACAAAAAATGGTAAGGGGAAGGGGGGGGGGGGCGTTGGAGGGGTAGGGAGGAGGAGAAAGGTAAGTTTCAGAAGGAAGGAAGACAAAGGGGTGAGGGTTTGGGGGATAGATTAATCACTGACGTGTGCATATATTTAGGATGTATGTTAGAACTTCCTCCAAAAGAGGCAGCTTGCAAATTAAATGCAATATCAATAGGCTTATCAGAGTCTAGGCATGGTTCCTGAAGAACTGTATTCAGTGGCCTAAGAGTTACCTCTCGCAGTCCCACGTGCGAGTGGCTGCCTAAAACTGCCCATAGAAATGAAGGTCCTGCGCAGCAAAATATTCATACAACCGCAGGGGCCACTCAGCGGGGTGTGGAGGCGGGGAAGGGGTGGAGTAAAGGCTGTTTACAAACTTGACGTACAGACGCAGCCCGACCTGTTAGGTTCTGAAATTCGGGGTTACCGTCTTGGGATCTGCAGGCGCTCTGATGCCCTTGGCTCAGGCACCCGGCTTATGCCCACACCGGCCGGCTGGAACCTTTCGAGGAACAGAAGAATTCCTGGGCTCCAGCCCTACCTAGGTCTGGAGGCAGCGATGACTCCGCCAAACTGCCGTCTCCGCCCACCCCAGTCTCCACGTCTCGCCGCGGCTCTCTGCTGGGGGCTCCAGGGGCTCATCCTGATCCCGCATCCCAGAGGCTTAACCTGCCCGCTCCCAGTCTTCAGCTTTGCCTGGCTCCCCTCCCGACCCCTCCCTCCGCTGAGCGGCGGAGATGGATGCGACATCCCCACGGGGGGATCTCTCGACTCCCCGAACAGCAGCAGCAGCGCGTGGAGGGGCAGCCGAGCACCCCGGTAAGTATCCATGCCCCCACTTTAAAGGTGACAGAGGGCGTGGGATTGCTTAGGGGAAGACTAACGCATCACCGGGCGCCTTGCGCTAGGAGAGCCTGACCCGGGAAAGTTTCTGCGTCACACGCGCGTGGCAGCAACGCATGTCGCTTGAGAAAGTCAAGGCTGCTATCAGTCGGGCCAGAATCTTACTGCGGGT